TGCACATCCAAATCAAGTAAATTAACCCGTCTTCCACCTCCCTTCCTTCTTCCCTCTGCAACATTCTCTTCGGCTCCCCCTTTTCTCTCCCCTATTTTTATCCCCCCTTGTCCACAACCACCACCTCCTCCACCATTCCTCTCCTAACCCTACCCCCTCTTCCTTCTCTTTATCCTGCACCCTAACCCAACCCCACCCCCTGTCCCTCTTCCCCGATCCCCCTCATTCCTCCCTCTTCACCTCTCTCTCCCAAGCACCCTCCCTCTTCACCTCTCTCTCCCAAGCACAGTCGATTGGAGGGTCCATCATCGAGTTTGGATCCAAGCTTCTCCATGTCCAGCAGGTGCCGAAGATTTTGTCCTCAGAGCCGCCCAGCTCCTCGAAGCTGCAGGATGGGCTTCGAACAGGTCCTAAAGCAGATCCAGGTCGTCGGGATCAGAAAATGGATCTCGGATTGGGTTCGGCGGTGGTAGGAGCCCCGGAACGGGGCGCTCGGAGTTGCGTCTGGCAACGGCTGCGCCATGTGTCTTGAGAGCTGGAGCTCGGATCCGGTTTCGGGTTGGCTGGATCTTGCATTTGGTTAAGTCCAGTTTCGGGGTGGGGGAAGGTGCAGAGGTTGGGGTTGGGTAGGTGTAAAGAAGAGAAGGGTATTTTGTCGAGTCCAGTTTCTGGGTGGGGGAAGGTGCAGAGGTTGGGGGTTGGAGAGAGAAGGGAAGGGGGGTCGGGGTGGGGAAGACGACAGGTTTTATATATATATATTATAATAATAATAATAATAATTTAATATTTTAATGACACGTGGCGCCCAGTCATTGTCCACATGGGCGCCACATCATCACTTAACGGGAGAATTAACAGTTTGACTAACGGATGTATGAAACTGTCCCAAAATTTACACTTTAGGTATGACTCTGGGACGAAAAAAAATTGATGTACTAAATATTGAAAACCATGAAACATGAGGGTAGTAAACAGTCTTTTGCCCTAAAAATTACAACAGTGTTTATCTTCTCTGGCTTTTTTAGGGTTTAGTAGTGATAATCTTGGTCATTGCAACAACTTGAATTGGTGGATATAATTATATAAGGTCTTTAATAAAAAGACAGCCCTATAATTTGTTGTCTGAATTAGGGCTTCAAGAACTTAGGTTCATTGAAGGGAATTCTACACAACATCATCACAGGCAAGTCAAGCATTTCGATATGACTCCTTCCACCTACCATCATTAGATATCCATTATTTCTTCACTTATAGGTTCTTCAGTTCACGCCTAGAACATGTGGGGTCACACAAAATATTTTCGAAGAAAACTTACTCTCTCCTTGACTACACATGCTTTCCAGATTCAAACTTAGATCGCGATCATATGGAGATTACTCGAACCTGGACTAAATTCAAAAATCTCATTTCTTAGCTAGTAGCTAAATTCTATTCGTCTGTGTTTTGATGCTTTGGGGACAATCTGCATCCTTGTTTGCTATATATCAAAGTTTTTATCAGCACCGAAAAAGAAAAAGAAAAAACAAAAGAAAAGAAAGAGGACCGTACGTGGCTTGGGCTAGTAGCTAGGGTAGTAGATAATAGTTAAGACTCCACCAATTTGAAATTGAAGGATTAGACGATATTAGTTCATCGGCAATGGTTATGAGTCATGACTCTCTCACAGGATGAGGACCTTTACACTCGGAAAACTACCAGCACGTCCCTCCTCCACCTTAGTTAGGCCCATTTGTAAAAATTGACAGATAATGATCTAGATCAATGTGAAACGCGAACTATATGTTACTATAAATCCCAACAAGATTACTATATATAACCAGATCTTAGCAGCCTAATTGTGTTTACCTAGCTAGTAGCCAAAAGCAACTGCAGCTCCTCATGATCAACTGGTCCCAAATTTCAGACTTAGCTATATTAGCTATGTGGTTAGAATAAGATGATTTAATTAGATACGTTCTGATACTAGTGTTGGATGTTCATATGCAAACAAGGAGGGTCGGTCGGTAAAGATTTTAACTATATCTAGCTTTTTTTTTAAGGTAATGCTAAGGAGACTAAATTTGTAAATAAAATTTTGTACACGAAATAACATGGAAGTTGATGATTAGATTATTACTTAAGCGTTGATATTATGTTCATGACATATCATTTAGTTTTTATATTCTGTCTATAAATCTTGTCTCCCTAACATTACTTTTTTTTTTTAATCACTATATCTAGCTATTTATATACTATTATTTAGGGCAATGGACTTTCTCAACCCTTGTAGAAAATGCTTCCATTTCTCTATTTTCTTAATTTACTCTTATTGAAAGAAATATATATATATATATATATAATAAGGATAAACAAGAATTTTCTAATAAAATAAAAATAAAAATAGTACAATTTTCTCACAACTTTCTCTTCCTCAACGATAAATATATACAAGAGTAGCAAGTTTCTCACTTCTCTTCTCTTCCTTTGCAATCCTTGATTGTTTTTAAGGAAAACTAATGAAAAGGGATTGAAAACTTTGAGTTTTAATGATAAGGACAAAATAAAGGGTAAAGTGAATAGTACCAGGATTGACTTTTTAGTGTAAAAATGTGGTTTTTCGTTAAAGTGAACAGTACCGGGTGCTTTTCGTTAAAGTTCCATTGTTTTTATCCATTGAGTCCACATTGCTCTATAAAATTCACCGATAAAGAAAACAAGAAGAAATACAACATTACAATGAAAAAAAAAAGTGCAAAAATTATTTTCCTATATAAAACAGCTCGCTCTCCTCATGCATTAGCTACCATACTAGCATCTATAACATGTGTGAGGATTTCTTGTATTTATATGTATGGTTAGACTAATTGTCGATTGGTCATATGTAGCCGTATTCAAATATGATAGGGCTTATTTTTGATTAATTCAGCTGGGCCATTACATATCATTCTTGGAAGATGGTCTCAGATAAACGAGGAGTCTTGTCTAACTTCACATGGCTGCTAAGCCTGCTGTGCTGTATAGGTGTAGACACTGTAGAGTGTAGAAGATCCTTGATCGGCCGATGAATTCCAAGGATCCAATTAGCTTGTGATTTTGTGGATGCCATCTAATTATTCTCTGCCTCTTAATAAGTGACAAGAAACTGTATCCTACTTACCCCTATTTGATGGAAATCCGTGACTCATTGTTTAATGGAATTTCACTCGAAGGAATAAAATAAGTTAGACTAGTAGTAATATAGTTACTAGCTTCTAATTTACACTCTTATTTGTAAGATCTTGTGCCGTCGGTCATACAACTCACATTCTTTTGGAGTCGAGTTAATAACAAATCTAAATATAACACAAAGTAATAAACACGCCATGTTAGTATGAACTCATATCACACAATTAAATATGTATCATAGTTTGTAACTCGATGATTGTAAACTAATACATAACATCGTAAACCAATATATGGATATTCACCAATATTCTGTTACTTTTTAATATAATATTTACTACCAACTAGTACTTTCGCCAAGCTCAACTCACATGAATGACAAAGATAACAATGTATAGTATTTGTATTGAGTTAATTGCTAACTAGGATTTACCTCCTTAATTGAGATGATTTTTACGAATGATTAACTTGTATTTTTACGAATGATTGGTTCCAAAAATATTTTCTCTAAAAACATTTTCAATCATTTAAAAGCACTTCCTAAACGAGCCCTAAGTTGTTCTCATTTAGTTCTTTTTGGGTTGTGTTTAATACAGATGATCAGTTTGGATAAGCTAATTCATTATTGGAGGAAGAAGTTGATGACAACTTTAAAATGTCATCTGTTGAACGAGAAATTTTTTATTGTGAATGGAACACTACACCACGTGTTTTTATATGAGTGGTGAAAAATTGTATTTTTTAAGTTATTAAATTTTGGACACATATTCTATCATTTGTATAATAACACGTGATGTACCACTCCGTGTTCTGGTCACATTGAAAAATCTCTCCTGTTGAATGAACAAAATGGAGTAGTCATGGGGGATTTCTTTTTTAATCTTACCATCATGACTGACCCTCCTGACTACAAATCCAAGAGGGCCCAATAAAAAACAATACTATGGGCCGGGCTTGACAACCCAATGAGGGTCCAATTTAGATACTTAAAACAGGCTTCAAAGGATCAGCGTTTTATTAAGACACTGATCTGACCGTAATGGAAAAGTAATCAGATCGAAGCCAATTATCAATTATGGTCCAAAGAGATTAGATTGGTTGAAAAAGACAAGTCAAATATTAGTTGCCACACCAAATAGAATTTAGTTGTACTAAAAGCTGAAGCACAAACTGGTAGCCTTTCTTCTTCTTTTTGTTTGTTTTTTTTTTTTGTTTTTTGTGAACAACTGGTAGTCTTGCAGAAAGAAATTAAATTGTTATTATTATTACTAACAGATGCTTACAAAGGTGTGTCCAAATAATTTATTTTTATCGAGTGATTAGTTTTTAAAATTTAAAAAAAAAAATCAATTATGAAAAACTAACAACGATGGGGTAGTTTCTTCTTTCTTCTATCATAGGAATACTTTTTATTTACTTAATTTTAATCCTTAAATAGGATATGTCTGTTTTTTAATTTTGATTGACAAACAGATACATAGTTTAGAAACCGAATTATTTTTCCAAATACAATAGTTGAAAGTTTGGCGTTATAGCACTACACTATAAAGTATAAACAACAAAAATGAAACTATACCAAGGTCCCATCGACTAAAGTTGTCTCGATGATTTAAAGTACACGTACCAAAGCATTATTAGTTTGGACTTCTACAATGGTATAGAACTTTTGTGCACGGATTTTGCACTTATATCTATATTGATAATATACACATTACGTTATTGATTTGTTATCTACTAATATTATCTATTGAACTTTTGTGAATGAATTTTGTGTTGATACTATTGATATATGTATCAATGATTTTGATAATATGCATGTTTTGTTGTTGATATGTTATTTACCAAAGATTATCAGTTGATTATCTGCTCTAAAACATGTATTATTTAGACAAATTTAGCTTGAAATACAATAAATACTAGGAAGAAAGCTTAGAATCACAGCCGAAGATTTAAGTCCAGCTGCTTATTATGTACATCTGATTCTTGTCGTGGCAATTGATGATCCACCCGGAAACTTCCGGGCCAAATATTATCCATGGTTTCTTCAAGCATGAAGGGTATCCATGCCATCCCAAAACCTGCGGCGGCGTCACTAAATCTCGCCACCGTTAACGACCCATCAGACCTGCTGCTAGGTTTCTGCACGAGTGAATGAGGCTGGACGCCAAGTGACCTAGCTGCTGCAGCCATAGGGCTGAACGGAAACCCCATTGCTGACATCATCATTTTGTGAGAGTGATACCTTTTGGCAGCTCCCCTCTCTCTCTTGTGTGCGTTTTGATGGCCTCCCAAGGCTTGTGAGCTGTAAAACTTCCTCAGACAGAAGTTGCATGAGAAAACTTTGTTGCTATTTGAGGGTTTTGGTGACGGAAAATCGGCGTCAACTTCCGCCGCGGATGGCTCGTTGGAGTTGAGGCTTAAACTCAACCAGTCTCCCAAATTATCATATTCATGATCATCAGCTAATCTTTCATCATTACTTTCTGTAATCTCATCATTTGCTTCCAGTGCTTCTGCTTCTCGTTCTTGCTCCCTTTTGGGAATCATTGCAAACCCTAAATAAAACTCAATTTAAAAGGTATAAGAAATGGAGAGTTTGGGATAGAGGGTTGAGGAAGTGGGGGAGCTTGAACTTAAATAACGGATGTGTGATGAAAAAGAAGGAAGTTAAGTTAGTGTAGAAACAGCAGACGTGAACGTACGACATTGGCTCAACTTAAAAGAGAAATTTTTAATTGTAATGGGAACATAAGTGGTACATCACGTGTTTTAATAGGAATGGTAGGAAATTTTATTTTTTATGTTATTAACTTTTTAACATACATATCATACCATTTATTTAGTGATACGTGATCTATCATCCCGTGTACATGTCTCATCGGAAATCTCTCAAACTTAAAAGTATAACAGTGCTTGTATAAAAAAAATAAAAAAAATCTAAACAGTCCAGGAAGGGCATATGATAATGGAGGGGATGAAGTGGCATTGGATATTACTAAAATATTTTATCTCAAATTTATGTGGTGCTCCCGTTTTGTGATGCTTGAAACTTTTTAGGGGACCAGTTGTGCTCAAGTCATGTATAATTGTATTGGCCATTCAAAGCTTAGGATTCCTTAGTAGCATCAATATAATTTGATTCCATATGGATGAATTAATCACAAACACTTTAAACTACTGAAAATGCCATTAAAAGCATATAGGTAAACATTTCCAAAGTGCTTCTAGTGATGGAAGGTTGAAATCAAAAAGCACTTTTAGGTAAATGTTGCTTAGAGAACACAGGCAAGTTGGAGTTCTTATCTACAAGCCCCGAACTGTACACCCTTTTGAACCCATACTGCAGATTTAAAGCATCCAGCATATGTTTATGGATCCTTGTTTTCACCTCACCTAGTAATCAAGAATTTATGCTCACTCACGGTTGAATTTAATATTAAGAGTTGAGATTAAAAATTAAAAGTACATCTATTTGTTCTTTAAGTGACCATGAATTCTACGATTACCGAATAACTAAGAGAACATTTCAGTGTGTTTATGTGCTGGACTGGACTCTCTGCAGATTATGGACCACTTCTTTGATGTGTCGTACGTGCAAAATTAAATTGGTCTTGCCAGAGGTTGATATGTAAATTAAATACAACTTACAGAGAGAATGAGGTTGATCTGTGTACTGCAATAAATTTTTTGCATGCCCAACATTCATTAACATGTGGTGTTTGTTCAGATAGTAGGGGGGAAAGGTTGGGAGGCAGATTGTCTGCCCTCTGTTTGGATGTCATTTTCATCTCCTTCTATTTGTGCAATCACTGTTAAAACACATCAATATTTTATATTCTTATTGTTTTTTTTTCTTACTATCTTTATAAAAAAATTAATATAAAATATTAATGTGACTTAACCATAACCGCACAAAATAGAAGGGAGGGGAATAGCACCCAAACAGAATGACAGACAATCTACCTCTAAAAGGTTGATATAACAAATCAATCAATTGAGTTGTTAATAAATATCGTTAAGATTTATTTAATATGATATCATCATAATATACATGTGAAACTAATAGTGGTGATGATGGTGGAAAGTGAAATCAATCAAAATAGATCATAATGGTCCCTGGTCTATCCTACCTTTTTTTTGTTCTTGTTACTATAACAGACTGCTATTGTGTTCTAAATCCAAACTCTTTTTCGTTCCAGGTCTGGACTCATTTTTCTCTTCATCCCTCTTTTTGCCGTGTAGTCTTCACTTCTCCTCCTTATTGTATCAACTTTTCTTTGGCTTTATCTTATATTAAATTTTCTTGTTACTACATACCTCATATTCTAGATTTTGAGCGTGTGTAATGTTTTTAGTTCTATATTGAATTTAGAATCTTTCAATTTTATGCAAACTATTCCAATCTCTCATGTTCTGATTCTAAATTACCTATATATATGATCAACTCTCCCACCCATAAAATTCTTGCCCCGCTACTAATTTGAAGATGCTATTATCATCAATAATTTCGTATACACATGATACTGCACTGCAAACCTGCAATGGTAGCTTTATGAAGAGTTTGGGAGGACCCAGCAATATCTATACACTAGCATTTATGCACGCGCTCACGTGCCTGCAGAAGACATTTTTAAATCATGACGTGTTATGTGTTACTTACACTTTTTAAATGTATTTATATGCGTGAATTGACAAAAGGAAAGTCAAATATTTGAAGTACATGAATAATCTTAGATCATGCTAGAAAAAATCCTCACAAACCAATCAAAGCAATTGATTCATATAATAAAATCGATCTTTCAATTTTCATCTACATTCTATTGAATTTACATTAAAAATAGAAAAAATAATATTTAATAAACAATTGATTAATCGCATTATTGCTAGTTCATTGTGAGGCTAAACTCATCACTTCCCCCTTAGTGTAGATAATATTGTTTGTTCAAAAAAACAATCATTTGACAACTTATTTAATCATATTATTATGCGCGTGTGAAAGATCTTTTTTATAACCGACATTACACGCATCTTGAGATATTTTGGACGTGTTTAAAAATAGAGAAAATAATATTTAATGAATAACTGATTGAATCACATTATTACTAGCATATTGTGAGATACTAATTTTAAAAAAAATGTACAACAAGAATTAATTATTAAAAACACTGTTAAAATGACGAAAATACTCCTGCATTATTTTATGTTGCTTTTAAAATTTTTTGTTGCAGGGCTTTTTTATCCAAAATTTTTTGATGAAGCATGTGATCCCAAAAGAAGTTGTTGGCTTTATGCATAAAGATAGGTGGGATGTCTATTTTTCCCAATTGGGGTTTCCGAGGATCGTTGTTGGATGTATCACGTACAAGTAGTGGGCTATGTGTACACATATGTATTACGTACAGTAGGAGCCGAGAAACCACCACGACCACATAATTCTTAGAAAATCAAATCAGAATCTTGCTGCTCATCCAAAAATCTTCATTGGAAAAGGATTAAATTAAAAAATATTTTTGTGGTGGAGTTGGAATGATGAGTCGGATCGTCCGTGTGCTTGGAGATTGGATTTGTTTTGCCCACACTGCTGTTTGGCTTTTGCCTTTTAATCATCAAGCAAAAGAATTGTTTTCTAATTCAATCCAAAGCAAGAAAGGTAAAAATCAAATGAATAACAGTAAATTATTAATTTCGAATTGGGTTATTCATTTATCGCCTATGGAATCAGAACTCATGACCTGCTTCGAAAGATTGAAGACCGCGTTTTTCTTTGAAATGTAATGATGCCAGATTAATTTCTTCCATCTATCAAGAACAAATTGAAAAAATTCAGTCTTGACTACACTAGTTCTTCAGCGAAAGGAGATGGATTGTCTGTCTTCCTATTTCCATACTCTTCCTATCCCCTTCTGTTTTGTTTTTGTGTGATCACGATTAAGCCATGTCAACATTTTATATTCCTATTACTTTTTGTTTTATTATTTTTATAAAAAAATTAATATAAAATATTGACATGACTTAATCATGACCACGATAAGAAGAGTAAGGAAATAGGAGGGCAGACAATCAACCTCAAGTTAAGACACAAATAATCTGTACGGTCCATAAAGAAGAATCAGTGCTGGCATGTTTACTTACTAGGTATGAGTATGAGAAGAAGGGGAATCATATTCCAATTTCTGATCACCCTCAAGATCATGAATTGTATCAACAGATGGCTTATAAGAAAATGAACACACCTTATAGAAACAATGTTGAAACTAGAAATTATCCACTACAACGTGAAATTACATCCTACACCCACCTTATCAAACATAAGGAGTACAGAATGCTTCCACTCTCACGATCCACATAATAAAGCAGCAACTGCTGCTGTGTCAATCCAACCGAAGCTTGTTCAAGAACCTACAACATTGCACCCAGAAGACCAATAAGCTGAGATGCATATCTAGACAGACACTACTCACACCGAAAGACAATAACATAACTTTTTCATGTCGGAATTGGATAAGCCCACAAGCGTTTCACTTGAGATGGCTTATAATAATAGATGGATAGTTAAAAATATAGCAGCCACAATTCTGTTCAAAATATTGGAATTTGGACGAAGAATAACACCTGTACGAAAGCAATCCACCACCAAAAAGGATAAAGCACAAGGATGAAATGACAAATGTTACCGAGAATCATAGTATCACATCTAGAAACTCCACAATTAATCAACTTCTATTGGGTTCAGAAACAACCATAAGCTTTATTTCCGATTACACAAACACTGCATTGCATACCCAACAAGTTCAAAGCTCCCATCTTTGCTCTATTTTCGATTGAAATTCTTATCGTTACACTCCCATTTCTCAAAATCTAACGCGCAGATAACTGGAAGAAACAATAAGATGGTACAAATCAATAAGCTAGTGCTGAGTATCATGAATCACAAGCTTCTCATTAAACAAACAGCTCACAAGGCATTGCATACACAAAATACTCAAAGTTCCCATATTTTTCTCTTTCAATTAAAATTCCTTATCATTACACTTCCATTTCACCAAATCTCACACACAGATGACAAGTAATTCAATGTAATTTCAAAGGGGAAAAAATGTCAGTACAAGACGCACCGCAGAAAGAGAGAAACTACTACGAGGGATCAATGGAGGTACCCTGAGACAGCTCGCAGCAATGCCGCGCTTCGACGGAGATGTGGCTTGTGAGACGAGCCGAAGCCAGGGCGCTGTGCAATGGCATCAGCGACTGCGCGCAAGCTAATTGGCCCACATTGACTGGGAGGGAGAAGAGGTTGCGGCGGGAGCTGCTGCCGATGAGATTACGAAGCGGAGCGCGAGGGAGAGATGAGATCGATGGAGACGACCGGAATGTCGAAGCTCTTGCCGTTGAGATCAGAGACCTTGACAACGACGACCCAGATCGCCACGCCATATCTTTGCTTGCTGGAAATTTAGGAACTGGGGATTGGATTGGAAGCAAGGGTTTTATGGCATTTCGATTTAAACCCTGAAACTGAAGAAGTTGTCTTTACAATACAATTGCAAAATCATTGGGCCTGTTTTACATCTGGTCTCTTCAAGTTCTGGTCCAATATTGGGATTTGGCCCATTAAGATCGCCCTTTAAACCATGGTTTCGATCTAACAGAAACATGCCACGTCTTAGAGCCAAAATTGACGAGGCTACGACATCCCGGTTGGCAAAGCTGACAAAGCCACCATCATGATCTTTATTTGAAGACATGCATAATGCATTGCAAACTGAGTACTTCACTAAAAAGGATTCAATCTTTTGGGTTGGGCTCTTCCTTTGGGCTTGAGTACCTAATATTGATATCAGAGCCTAAGTTTCCGACGTTGAGGAGGGGATAACCTAGAAAGGACTACCTTAACGGAATGACCAAAAGGGTGCGCCGCCGTTAAGAGTGAAAGCCACCAAAGTAAGGGCCGTTGTGGGCGTCGACTTTTGAAGGGTGGTGTAATGTTATGATCCCACATCGACTACACTTATGGTGGTGTAGGGGTTCTTAAGTCCTTGGGATCCTCCCACCTATTGGACTAGTCTTTTGGGTTGGGCTCTTCCCTTGAGCTTGAGTACCTAACATTACGCACTTTGACTTGCTCTGGCTGAACGCTTGAATCATGAGAAAGATATTTTCTTGCCTAAAGCAAAACACAACTAGTAGCACTTACGCTTTCAAAACTTTAAGTCTCTAAATGAATACAACTCTGAAGTTTGACATTTCCAACTGATTCTAGTTCTTCCGTACCCGAAATCTGTATGTGCTTTAGTCAAATTGATCGTGTGCTTTCGCTTCCAAAGTAGTCAACACAAAACAAAACCAGAAAAATAGTTGGAGTAACAGCTTTCTTGAGAATGTTCAGTAGCATGCCATAGATTGAGAGAGAAGCAAACTACATTAAAAAGCCCTAACTAAAAAAGTTGATAACAATCCTGTACATCTCTCCTAGAAAAGCAGCTAGATCGACAACTTAATCAAGAAACGGGCTCACAAACAAAATGAACATTAGTGAGTTTAGCCTTGATCTACGGTTAAAATGCAATGCCTACCCACCTAAAATACACTCAGCCACCCAACCTAATCAAATGCAAAGAACTAATCTACGACTTGGATTTGACGACCAACTAACTTCCGATACACGACAATTTTGGTATTGCCAGTTCTAGATTCTAAAATCCAAAACGCAGACTGTGTTGTTGGCAAAACATGCAGCAAGTTTGTCGCCTTCCTTGTTCCAGCAGACTTCAAATATACCGCCACTTCCAGTGTACGTTTTCACAATCTTGCCTTCCTTCAGTGACCATATGTGCATCGATTTATCAAGAGATCCACTGGCCAAATACTCACCGTTTGGGCTAAAAGCAACAGAATAAACAGGTTCCCTGTTGATTCAATTTGAATGTATCAATACAGAATGAAGTAAAGAAATTTTATTAAGCTTCGAACACCATAAGGGTTTGTTTAAATCCAGTACCTGTGTCCATCCAAGCTGCAGATAAGTTTTCCTTGTTCCACATCCCATAGCTTCACAGTGGAGTCGAATGAAGCACTGCACAAGAAGCACAAAGATTCAGTGTATTTTCTCCACAGAAAGTATTGAGTGTACTTTCTCAGCGGAGTATACATGCAGAATGAAGTGCAAGTTTGAAGTGCAAGTTTGAATCCTATTAAGAAATAATATTTCTGCATAAAGACAACTGCGCTTAGGCATGAAACAGAAACCCCCAAATGCAATAACATGAATACAAAAGATCAGTGGCTTAAAATACAGTTCTCGCTGCACCACAGGGTTAACGGCAATAAGAAGTTTGACAATAACTTGTTAGCACAGAATGAATCAGGAGAACTACCATCCAACCAGGTTTTACACAGGTAATAAATAATTTTCTGTCTTTGTACAAAATTTCAACTGCCAACATTAAGCTTTTCTTGAAAAATATGAAAACCATGTAAAAGCTATTTATTGAAACAATTTGCAACTTAACTGAAATAATAAAAGAAGACATGGTAACCGCAACGCACACAATACAGTATCTCACTTCATCTGAGAAGCACTATACCTTGCCAGAACTAACTGTTGGCTAGGGTTGTTTGTTCCTGGCCCAGTCGGACTCCACCTGATAGTGTATATCTCCTGCAATCCAAATTTTCAACTCTTCTAAGATTCCGCAATAGTAAATTCAAACAGACATGATAGGAAAATTAAACTTGAATGACAATCTCAGGAATACCTTAGAATGCTCTCTCAAATCATGAACATACTTTTCCTGCTTCATGCTCCATATCTAAACCATAATTTCACATGAGTTGCAAATTCAATAGTCTTATCAATGGAAAACAATGAACCAGCTGAAAGTGATCCAATTAATTGAATGGAAAATAATGAACCAACTGAAACTGATCCAATTAATTGAAAATGGCTATATTATACTGAATAGGGATAAGATGTACAAAAGAAGAATGATATATATATGAATTATTGGACTCAAACTTCTAATCTAGCAGTAAACGAGATTGGTTTAATCAATCCTATTGTTCCCATGTTCCGGAGTATACATATGACACTACCCCCATACCAGGTCTGTGTTCAACTTCAGCAACTATCTTTGATTATATACAAGTATAGACTAAAAATATTATATGCAAACAAGTATCTTACTGGACATAAAATGGAACTACTTGACTACAAATTGAGCAGGTAGCACAGATAACCTTTGCACTGATATCGTCAGAACATGAAGCCAACAATGAACCGGTTGGATCCCACTTAACACAATTAACTTCTCCCTGAAACAGCGAAAATCCATTGATTAGCCACAAAAACTGATAATATCAAGTACAATTGTAAATTATAAAGTTTATCGTTCGCAAACATGCAAATTTTTGCAGATGTTCAAAACAAGTGAAACCATTTTTGCTACCTGAGAAAATTCCAGTAACTACAATCAGACATGTTCAAATAAACTGGTAAGCTCAGGGTTTTCCAGTTGACAAAATCAAATGCAGGTGTGTAAGCTTTAGGGAAATAAAACAGCAACATTCTAGAATGGAAGGCTGGATTACCAAGACCCTCTCAAATCCATATTCAACCAGACGAGGACCAGTTAACCGAGATTTTCTCAAATGAAATTGAACATTAACATGATCAGCATCAAGACAATATATCTCCGACTAGAATTGGGTGTACCTAGATCTTCAACAATCTAAACAACACAAAACTATCTGCAGCCTCTACAGGAAAAGAGTAGAGTATACATAAACAACAATAATAAGAAAAAAATGCTAAAAACATAATTAACCTCAGGTTTGATCTAGAGCAACTAAATGCTTGAGAATACCTGATGTCCTGCAAAAGTTTTAATAGGGTGGTTTTCCCCAATCTTGCATACATATATCATATTGTCTGTTGAGCTCATTGCAAAGGATACATTGTTGCGCCAATCGACATCGAGTGTTGGACCTAAATGACAGAAAATAATCATCAAAATCCCAACACAACCACTATTACACTGTCTGTTCCATGAAAAAAACACACACCTGAATGAAATTCGAACTGCTGTTTTGATTGCTCTGCCTTTACATCCCACACAATTGCAGTTTTATCACAGCTTCCTGTAAGAAGATAATCTCCCTTTTTGTTCCACTTTAGTGAGAATATAGGCCCTTTATGTTTGCTCAAAGTACTAATTAATTCACCTGGGCAAAGATACCACACAGAATATATGTTCTTAAAACTTCCAAAATGATGCAGAAAAGTAAACAAGAATCATAAATCAAATGGAACAGAAAAACCAGAAAAGCAATCTGCTTACCATTTGTACCCCAAATTCTTGCTTGCCCATCATACGATCCGGTTGCAAGCATTGTTCCCTCTCCCTGAATAAGTGAAAGGTTTATTTGCATATACACCAAAGAAAAAAAATACAAGAAGCTCTTGCAGTTTTAGATGCTTTTGGAATAAAGAAAACAAGTTTTTTTCTTGATTAGTGAAACTCGCAAGAGCACATAACAAAGAGCATCCACATGGCATGTAATCAATTACAAGAAAATTTGATAGGCCAATTATCACAAAATAAATCCACAATAACAGAGCTCACATTCCAATCAAGTGTTGTCACATCTTTGCTCTTTTCATTTGTTCTACCCTTAACATGCTTCAGCACCAACACATTTGAGGAGCCATTTTGTGAACTAAATCTGGAGCTTCCATCAGCAATGGTCCAAATACGAGCAGTTGAATCTCCAGACCTGGAAAGTGATTAATTAAAAGTGACAAGAGTAAGGGATTGAAAAAATGTGGAAAGAAGAGATCTTTCAAAATTTGCCACTGGTACGGTAATAGTGTGGTAACACCATGGATTCGGAAACAGCCCATATTCTGGTCAACATTAAGGCCCACAATTAACATGATATATGATAAATTAATATCACCAGTTCCAACTAGTCTTGAGGGATGTTGATTTTACTGAAATTTAATGCTAAGAGAGAGGCTTAAATAACAACAAAAGATAGTATCAAATCAAATGGTGAAGAGCAGATAAAGGGAAAAACATGTCTCATCCAACATCAGTATTCAATTAACTAGCAAAACATGTGAAAGAATTAGTAAAGAGAGAATAAATTAACAACATTTTTCCATGGTTCATTATTCTCTAAACAAGAAAATAGATAATAGAAACATCCACTACATATGAACAATAACAAATACACACCCCGATGCAAGAAGAGAACCTGCTGGACTCCATGCACAAGCACATACCTAATGAAGAAAGGAAATGAGATCCAATGTCCCACACAGAGATATGAAGAAACATACGGCACAGAAAGGGGGGAAAAAGCCAAGTATAAGGTGGGTAATGCAGGTAAATAGGAGCATGCACAAACCTCATTAGTATGCCCCTCCAAAATTGTCACATCAGAACTAGGGATTTCAACATCTGTAAGAGGAATATCCATTGGTTCTGCTCCAACAAAAGAAAATCATGATTACTTGTACACTTAAGAAATTGACAGGAGAAAGATTATTTTGGATAGAACCGGAAATTTTCAACTGTATTAAAGGAGAGTTTTACATAGCATGCCTTGCCTTTTTACACATATTATTATTTTGGATAGAACCGGAATTTTTCAACTGTATTAAAGGAGAGTTTTGCATAGCATGCTTTGCCTTTTTACACATATGCCAAAAACTCTAACTCATCATACCTAGATGATTATGGAATGAAGCTAGTTAAACTTCCTTGCGCAGATTCTCAAATGCCAAGAAATGCGCAAGGCACCACATTCCAAAACAAATTCTCATCTTGGCAGATTATGATATCATTACAAGAGAAAACAAGAAGTTAAAGCATTCTTCCTTTATTACTTTCAGTTCATTAAAAATTAGAAAAAAAATTATATAAGAGTAGTTCACCGGCTAAGCGGATGTTTGTACATATATAAAACTTTTCCTGCACCCTGGTAAGCTCCAAAAAACAAGTGTCTACATCTTAGTTCTTATTTCTCATCAATCACAATATAAAAGAACATAATCATTGAATGGATTTGTGGTTGCTAAAAAACTGTGGCCATTTTGTGGCCTTAGTAATTGTATTCAGGCTAATAAAAGAATAAAGACCACAAAAGAGAAAATCATTTGCAGTAAAACTTGAATCTACCTCCAGAAGCTCCATTTTCTTCATGTTTCACATTAACTTTATCTTCCTGATCTCTAACCACATCTCTGTCATTGTGGTCCTCCAGCTGCTTTTCTCGCTCCTTGTTCTTTTCTATCCTCTCTCTATCCTTTTCAAAATCCTTCTCCCTTTCTTTTCTTTCTTTCTCTCTTACTTGTGCACGTTCTCCTTCATGTTCCTTTTCATGCTCCTTGTCTTTATCTTTCTTCTCATAAGACTCATGCTCTTTATCTTTGTATTTGTCCTTCTGTGCATTCTTCCTTTTCTCTTTAATCATTTGCCCCAATTGATTTACATCCTTTGTAATAAGATCTAAAGGTTGTAAAAATGAGAAATCTTCATCCAAGTCTGCATCACTCTGGCAAGCTTAAAACAAAAGTTGGTTAACATATATTCTAAGATGTTCATTGCGCATAAAGTTCTTGAACAAAAATTACCAGCTATTCAATAATCCATAAAAAAACAAGAATACTAACATTACTCAAGTTAGCTTCCATCTCCAAGTACTGAAGTCCTTTTTGTATAAATGTAACAAGTGCACCAGGTGGAACCAAATTTCCATCTATAGTGCATTTGTTAATACCGGCCTCATATCCTAAAGCAAAAGCTGAGTGCGTGAAACCTGCAGAAGTAACAAAACAAGAAGCGTAGAGAAAAAGAATTGGGTTCATCGATACAATCTTTGATTGATTCGGAAGCTGCTTCATGTTTTGCACTTTGATAACAAATCTAGAGTGTGCAAACATGCAATTGGCTTGTGTACAAAAACCCATAAGATCACTCCACAACTCGGATTCTCTGCTTTTATATGATGTTAAATAATCTACTACTTGGAAAAAAACATCCAATAGCTTCGCATATTGATTGCGCATCAAATCCTAGTCAGATTCAAATCTTATAATATCATAATAAGTAGGTATACAAATAACATTCAGTTAAACATAAATTTTTATTCAGGTTCCGGCAAACCAAACTTATAAAAAATTGATTAGGAAAAATAAAGGGCATTGCTATCCATACACCTCTTTTTACCTTCACACACTCCTCTCAATTTCCGGCAGTGGGAACGAATGAATTGAAAAATATCAAATGACATAAATTAACAAGGGCGTCTAGGAGGTATAAAAGGGTGTGGATAGCACCATCCAAAATAAAAGAGAAAACGAAAAGTACTGAACTTTCGAGCATTCCAGAAGATAATTACACAACAAAATTATACCCACTACTGTTTTAAGATCTATAATCTCATGCCCCCTCGACGCCCAATAAACAGGAAGCCAATTGAAAAATTATTCCCAAAAATTATAGTTCTGAACCCTAATTAAGTTATACTAGCAACCATGCAACACAAATTGATATATACAACCTTATAATTTGTACAGCATACTCAATGCAATTTAAAAGGGGAAATATAGGGTAAAATAAATCCGAAGAATAGATAAGATTGGGGGGTTGCGAAGTGTAGAATACCTGATTCCTGAAGGTAACGGAAGACGAGGAAATTCAACTCGACGGAGGTGATAGAGGTCATCGTCGCAGAAGTTGCCGGCTCCAATGGCTGTGATGAGAGACCCGCAAATCGTGCGGCCCAGTTTCAATGAGAGAGAGAGAGACTGCAATGGCAAACAGGCGGGGGATATTTATCGGTTTTGCACAGTTTGGAGGGACTTTGGAAGCCCGAGCCAGAGAGAAGAAGGAAGGGCAGGAAGCAAGGACCTTCCATTTTCCCTTTTCTGTATGTCACTTTCAACAACGAAAATGATATTTTTACGTTAAAATATTATTCTTTTATTATTTACTTACAACACATTTTATCTTTTCATTAAAATTCAAAGTTTTAAAATTTTTTTTATTAGTTTTTCTTTTTTTTAAATGAGAATTTCTCTTTGTTTATATTTATTTATTTTTGTTTTTATTTTTAATGCTTTTTTTTTTTGAAACAGAGAAAATCATTACCCGGGCAAAGATGCCAGCAAATACAGAGAAAGCCTACACCAAGGCTAGCAAACAAGAAAGAAACAGAACAACGGACATAAGAAGGAGCTACAAGGAAGACATAATAGCCAAGCTAGCATGTCGCCCCCTCCACTGCCCCCAAAAAACATTACAGGGGACAGGTTAATCCATCACTTTAGAGCACAAAAACCAGAAAAGATAGGGGTCTATTGACCCAAGAAACATCGCACATCTCCACACACCGATGCGACGCCAGAGAGTCCGCCGCCATATTGGCTGATCTTGGAATCCAAGACCAGCGATAGTCTTGGAAAGACTCTCCTAACATTTTAGCTTTCACTAATGAAGGAAGGGCTTCCCATCTGCCCTTCCCAAGAGAAACCGAGAGAGAGCAAATAGACTCTTGGGAATCACTCAACGATTACCTTTTAAAGTCCCATAACTAACCCCAAATTCACAACCCATTGAAATGGACACAGCTTCAGCATCATTCACACACGGAGCCGTAATAACATGTCTAATTGCAACCACAAATGATCCCCCGACGTCCCGCAGAACAATGCCAACGAAACTAGCGCACTTTAACGCTGACTAGTTGGCGTCAACGTTAATTTTTGTGTACTGCAGAGGAGGAGTGGCCCATCTGGGCTCTGGACTAGCCACAGGTCGACGGACAGGGAGGTCCGGATTCCTACGAACAACTTCGAAAAAAGCACTAGCCGAGTTGGAAATAGCCCACATTACCTGAGTGGGATTGATATGGCAATTATTATACACAAAATTGCACTTGGCTTTCCAAATGTGCCAGCACGAAAAGGCAACATACGAGATGAGGGACAGCCTATCAACATTATGACCGCCAAGGACATTTGCAGCAGAAATAAACCACTCTATCCAGTTCGAAACCCTAGTCCTCGCCATCCGGAGGTTGAGAGCTCCACCAAACCAAACGGGTTCCACCCAAGGGCAAAATAACAATAAATGCTCGATGGACTCTTCCTGATTATGATAAATGAGGCAATTCGGATAAGGCACAGACCTCTTTTTAAACAACTCATACATCGTTGGGAGAGCACTATGGAATGATTTCCACATAAAATGTTTAATCTTTGCCGGTATTCTAAGTTTCCAGATAAGCTTCCAAACCCTGCTTGGGATAACAATGGAGGCACAGGAATGCAGTGACATCGGGTGGTTGAAACGGGCATGTACCCAGTGATACCCGGTCTTCACCGAGTACTGCCCATTCTTGGTCCCCGGCCAAATGAACCGATCATCACTCCTCAAATCACCAATATAAGTATCTCTAATGGCATTGAGGTCCTCTGCCGGAAGGAAAGGTTGGAGCGAGTTGAGGTCCCAGGTGCGAGAAACAGGGCAAATGAAAGACCTCACCCGAGTATCCATGGTGACTGACACTGCACCACCTGGGGTGGGATGACCCAACGGGATGGATGGAAGCCATCTGTCAACCCATACCCGTACTCGCTGCCCATCCATGATTTGCCAGTGGGCCCTCTTCAACAGTAAATCTCTGCCCACCAATAAACTGGACCAAACCCACGACGCTCGACTACCCTTTTGAGCATCAAGAAATGAGCAGTTAGGTAAACACTTGGCCTTAAGAACAGAAGCCCATAAAAAATTTGGCTCCATAATCAACTTCCAGCACTGCTTAGCAAGAAGGGCGTCATTAAAGGATTTGAAATTTCTAAAACCCAGACCCCCTGCAAATTTTGAAAGTCTCATCACTTTTTTGGAAACCCAGTGAATTTTCCTCTCCCCATATTTCTGACCCCACCAGAACCCATAAATCAAAGAGTCTAACTCATTGCAAATAGAATCAGGGAACTTAAATAAATTCATCGAGTACGCTAGAATGACTTAAGCAACAGCCTTTATCATCACTTCTTTGCCAGCCTGAGAAAGCGTACACTTTTTCCACCTCTGAAATTTTCCCAACAGATGACCTTTCATATAAGCGACCACGAGACTTGGAACGGCCCTAGATGGCAGGAAGACCAAGATAGGAACCTGGGTGAGACACCACCGGAATGCCAAGATCACACCTAAGATCAATCGCTACATCCACAGGAGTATTAACACTGAAGTACACACACGATTTCTGGAGGTTCACCGCCTAGCCTGAAGCCGAGCAATAGGTTGCCATTAATTTGCTCAAGTTGTTGCAATTAGCTTTATCTGCCTTCAAGAAGATCTGTCATCAGGAAAAAAAATGTGGGAAATAGGCAGGCCGTGGGTAGACATTCGAACCCCCTGTAGTTGTTTAGACTCAATGGCGGTACAAATCATTTTAGACAAAACGTCACTTATCAAAAGAAGCAGATATGGGGAGAGAGGGTCTCCTTGCCTTAAACCTCTTAAATGAGCAAATTTGTTAATGGGTTGCCCATTAAGTATAACAGCAAAGTTGATAGAACACACACATCCCATGATGAGCCGATGTCACACAGGGTGAAACCCCATCTTTTCCATAATTGCATCCAAAAAATCCCATTCCACACGATCGTAAGCTTTATGCATGTCAAGCTTGATGCCAAGATCAAACTTGCTCTTCGTTTTCCTAAGTTTCAGGAAGTGGAATAATTCATGAGCAATCCAAATATTGTCCTAGATCTGCCGGCCCCCAACGAACGCATTCTGCATCGGAGAAATAAGGCTCGGCAATAAAGGTTTCAGTCTATTAGTTAAAACCTTAGATAAGATTTTATATGAAAAATTACATAAACTAATAGGCCTGAAGTAGGAAATAGACTCCGGGTTCGGGATTTTAGGGATGAGAACAATATGGGTCGCGTTGAGCTACCGACGACAAGTTTTACCATTTGACAATAATAAGACAAGCTCATATACATCCTTAGCAATACAATCCCAATAGGAGTGGTAGAACACCCCTTGGAACCCGTCAGGCCTCGAGGCCTTGAAACCACCCATTTGTCGAGCAGCCATCCTAATTTCCTCCTCCGAGATCAGCATCAGTAAGGATTGGTTCATATCGTCCGTGACAACCGGGCTGATGCATTCCAAAACCTATCCCCAATCTCTTAGTCCAGAAGAAGTAAAGAGATTGATGAAGTAGTCGTCAACCACTTGGTGTGCACGGCGTGGATTCTCTTCCCAAACCCCGTCGTCCATCAAGATTTTCACAACCTTGTTCCTCCGTCGACGTTGCAAAGTAGACTGATGGAAGAACAAAGTGTTTGCATCTCCCTCTCAGAGCCATTTGATCCTTGATCGTTGTTTCCATAAGCTCATCTTGTTCCCGTAATGTGTCAACCTCGATGGTCAACTTTAGAATTGCCTCCCTATTAGGTCCCTAGTTCAATTGTAGTTCCCCCAGCTGGTCCATTAGAACTGCAATTTCCTCTGTTCTATGGTTGAACTTTCTTTTGCTCCAAGAGGTCAGTTTGGATCGGCAAACATTAATCCTAGTGTGCCACCTTGTGATAGCATCCCCAGGGCATTGGTGATTCCAACAGGATTCGACAATTCTTCTGCACTCCTCTTTCTTTGCCCACATTGCTTCAAATCGAAACCACTTTCTACCTCTTCTCTGGTTTGGTTCACAGCAAATCAAGACGGGGCAGTGATCTAAGCCCACAACTGTGGCGTGATTAAGAAATGTATTTGGCCAAGTAGTCTGCCAGAGCTGATTACACAAACCTCTGTCTATCCGTTCCTCCACCAACTCCCCGTTTCTTATCCCCCGCCATGTAAAGAAAGACCCATTAAAGTTAAGATTATGCAGCTCCGCCTCCATGAAATTAGCCAAGTATCGAGGTCGGTTATAAAGAACCGGAGCCCTACCAAATTTCTCGGACTCCCATAAAAATTCATTAAAGTCGCCCCTACATAACCAAGGAATATCCATAGGCTGGAAGAAGGAATTCATCCAATTCCAAAAAGTCGCCTTCTTGGATAATGTAAAACTTTTTAACATGTTACTTGTACTCTTGGGTCCGACAACCAGCCACCTAGATTATGCTATATGGCTTATTGGATCGGCTTGTGCGCAAGTTCACTGGGCATAAGTAGGGATAGGCAAAATACCCATAGGTTTGGGTAACCGTGGTTATCCGTCTATTTAAAGTTCACAATTACGATTATAGGTAACCGTTTATACGAACAAACAATTATGGGTATAACTGTTTATCCGTGAAATTTAAATGGGTGGTTATGTGTATTACTCGCAGTTATAACGGGTATCCATTGATTATGCGTATTACCCGCGTTTATAACGGGTATTCATTGACCCGTTTAATTTAATATATGTAAAATTAAAAAATAAAAATAAAAACCCTAAATTTTCAATCTCTTCACCAGACTAAGTCTCAAATTCCCCGTCCCTCGCTCATCTCTCCCTCATCGCTACCCTCTCCTCTCTCCAGAGCTCACTCCCTATCTCAACAGCAAGCGGAGCAAAGGACTTCAGCAGGGATTCCGAGTGGACCAGCACAGCTGATCAGAGCTCAGGTGAACACGGGTTTGTTTATGTCGCAGTTAGTTATTTGATTATTGCTTGATGCTGTGCGTTTTGATTCCCTGCCTAAAACGTGCAAACCCCATGAATATCATCAACTTGCTTTGATCAATTGCTTGTTTCCTCCTTAATTTAATTACATTTGAGTTAGTAAAGTTTAAGCATTTCAAGTGAGAATTTTCATAATTTGTGTATTTGTCAATGTTTAAGATACGTTATTGCATGCTGGCATGATCGTAACCACATTGACTAGTACGGATGTGCTCCCTCGTTTCACCCGGATAAGCAAACTTGTTTAATTGTTAGAAAACGAAAATTATGACAAATTTTTCTTTTGTAATCTTCAAGTTGCTAAAAAAACATATAGATGAGTGAAAAAAGGGGTAAATGGATAAAAAAATGATAAACGGGTTCAAAAACACGTAAACGAGTATGGTCATGGTTAAATGGGTACATAGTTATGGATATGGTTAATCGTTTATAAACGGTTATGGGTATGGGTATAACCGTTTATGCAATTACCCAACGGGTAAACGGTTATACATGTATGAACATAAACAGTTATAGGTAAATAACTGCGGTTAACCGTCTGCCATAACCGTTGCCCATCCTTAGGCATAAGCCCAGTCTATTCGCAGTCCATTGGATAAAATTGACTAGGCCTCAGTCGGGTCTAATCGCTTTACTTATAATCGATTCATGGCCCATCCTACAAACCTTGCTACTTCCTTTTTTTGTTTTTTTTTTCGGTCCACTGGATTCTCGTATATCACCAACTCATGTCAATCGTTTGTTAGATAAATAATATACTTTTTAAACTAATATTTATTGAACGATGACACTATTGAGCCTAATTTTTTGTTACATGAGAGAAGTGGTCCAAACTACCAAGCGATTATCATGAAGGGCCTTGGGTGCATCATGAGCGAGGTTAAGAGTGGGGATAAAGCTCAGGCAAGAATTATCTGGGCTTTGTGGGGCCCATGTGCTTCAATAGGCGTGTCAGCATGAACTTTTCAATAGGTCTTTGAAGGTATAAAATTGATAGATGATCATTAGTCTCGGAGTTGGTGAAGTATGATACAAACATCGTTATACCTTAGAGAGAGCATACTCCAAAGAGTAAACGGTTGTCTCACCTAGCTAGTGAAGAAAACTGAAGATAAGATTTTGTTTATGGAATAGGGAAGTCGGTACACAATAAAATGAGATCAAACCCAACAAACTCAAATCAACTTAAATCCATGTCCAAAATCATAGGCTACATAGCCAGCAAAAGCAAGTCCTTGAATTGAAAGGTTACCTTCTATCCTCTGTGAGGGCTCTTCCCTCATCATGTGAGGGTCTCTCTCTCTCCTTTTGTGAGAGAATTTTAACAGTTGCATTTTCTCACCATCCCTTTGGTTTCTTCTTCCTCTTTCTTCAATTTCCCCATCCAATTGCCGTTTTGAGAGTTGGAGGTTTGGGATTTTTCTTTTTACTTTATGTGTTCTTTTCATACCTTAGTCCCCATCTTACAGCCCCTTTTCCTCAACCTCACCCCTTTTATATTTCCATCATTAACCTGCATATCAGTCCATTTTAACCATGTTTTCCCCACCATCTTCCTTCTTCCTTACCCAAAAATTAGATCTTAAAGTTTTGAACCCGATCTGGAATTTCGATTTCTATACTTTAAGATTTGATTTTTTCTTTGGGTATGCTTGCCATTTTTGGGTTGATTTTACTATGCCTTAGTCTTTGTAGATCCACTCTGGTTTTGGATCCTCCATGGTGGCTTTTCTGGTGGTTGCTAGCCAGAGACAATTAGCATGGAACTGTTTCTATTTGTTGGGGATTAAAGGTTTTTCATATGTTTCTACTTTTGGGCTTATTGTTTTTTATGTCTTCTTATTTTTGTTTGTTGCCGGTGCCCCTTGTTGATGCACAAAACTGGAGGTCTTGGAACAACGTAAATCCGACCGTGAATCTACATGAAATGCAAATAACATAAGATGTATCGTGGTTCACCCCAAGGTTTGGGCTACGTCTACACTGATTATGTATTTATTTGAGGGAGAGAGAGCCCTGAGAGTGAGAGCTTTGAGAGGGGGTAAGAGGGCCTAGGAATTGGCCTCTGAGGGTGAGAATGAGCATCCCCCAATTGTGAGGGTGAGGGGTCATTTTATAGAATAAGGACTCCTCACTTATTACATATTTGCCCATTCCTTTATTACATAATTACATTTAAGTCCCCCGAGTACTTATACGAGGTCTAAATACAAGGCCCTAAATATGGTATAAACAGTAGTCCCCCAAGTCTTCAGTCAAGAGAGTCTTTTGGCTGGAGACTTGAAATTCAGTCCATGTGTGGGTCGAAGTAACTAGATGTTGTCTTGAACTGATGCTCGTTATGAGGCGGTGCTCAATCTAAAATGATGCTCAACTAGAAGTAGCATATGATGCAAGGCCACTCGGCTCGTGGCTAATGTTGCCTTGGTTGGCTCGACTTGTGGCGCTTGAAGGTGATGGGGTCCCTTTTATAGAATAAGGGCTCGCTCTTCAATACATAAGTGATGGGCTAGGAGTGATACCCGCGGCGAGGCAGTTGCTCAGCTGGCGGCGTTATTCTCTAATGATGGTGAGGGAGTCCCTTTTATAAAATAAGGGATCGCTCCTCAGTATATGAATAATGGGCTAGAATTGATGCTGCTCTAATGATGGTGAGGGAGTCCCTTTTATAAAATAAGGACTCGCTCCTTAATACATAAATAATGGGCTAAAGTCCCCTAAGTATTTTTCATGAGGCCTAGTTGAGGCCCAATATATGGTGTATAGTGTAGTCTCCCAAGTCTTCGGTCAATAGAGTCTGTTGGCTGGAGACTTCAAATTGAATCCATGTATGGGCCGAAGTGGCGGTTATTCGGAGGCGGTATTTGTATACCCTGCACTGAAGCTTTGTAGGTGAAGCTTTGCAAGTGAAGCTTTGAAGCTAGAGCTTTGTAAATGACGCTTTTTGAAGCTAGAGCTCTGTAAATGAAGCTTTTAAAGCTGATTGACATGAGTGATGCTCATAAATGTTTATGTTGATTGACATGAGTGATGCTTATGGATGTCATGAGTGATGCTCATGAATGTTAACATGAGTGATGCTCATGAATGTTGACATGAATAATGGTCATGAATGTTTATGTATGATTGCCATGAGTGATGCTTATGAATGTTTATGTATGAATGACATAAGTAATGCTCATGTATAATTTGGAGTACTGGGCGTACTTTTGATCACCTGGTTGGTGGCATGAATGAGAGTACGGGTTGTACATTTCATCACCTGGTTGGTGGCATGAATGGCTAGTTGCCAAATAATATTAGAGTACGAGTTGTACATTTCATCACCTGGTTCGTGGTAATAGCGGCAAGTTACCGAATGATTTTGGAGTACTGGCTGGTTGGTGGTAATAGCGGCGGGTTGCCGAATAATTGTGGAGTACTGAGTGTACTTTTGATCATCTGGTTGGTGGTAATAGCGGCAGGTGCCGAATAATTGTGGAGTACTGGGCGTACTTTTGATCATCTGGTTGATGGTAATAGCGGCGGGTTGCCGAATAATTATGGAGTACTGGGCGTACTTTTGATCACCTGGTTGGGCTATTTCGGTCTTATGGGCCTTCGCCCTCCACAACATGCCAGCCCATTTGTTTTGGGCTTTACCGTTTTTTTTTTTACCCTCTGGTGGGGTTTATACATATTACCCTCTGATGGGGTTTATACAGATGTCTCCGAAAGATAAGAAAAATAAATTACATCATTTTAAACTAAGGAAACCCTTATCTTCCTCCTAGGTCTTCCCGTAGCTTTCTCAGAAAATAGGAACATGCATGATGAAAGTGTGGGTATCTTCTTTGGCTTTAGTAAGATCTTTCTTTTTCTTTTTCTTTTGCATTGCTAGGCAGAGCAGAAATTTGGTTGGCCGAAAAGTTGATGAGAGGAACTGGAAGTGCAGGTCGTCGGCGATACCTACTCTGTTTCTTAGGCGATGCTTTTGGGGTGTGCTCCGATCTGGGCCATCAAGTTGTGCCACAGTATCAACAAAGCGGGGGAATTTCAAGTACACTATTTTTGTAACTTTTGAAATCATAGTTTGGAATATCTACTGCTTGCCCATGCTTCAACTTGTCCATTGAAGATAACAGTTTCTCGATGTCCAATGCCTCAAGATGGTTAAAGTTGTACTCATGTACACGTTTAAGTTCCTCCTCGGTTAGATTATGATAAAAGGAATCCAGAAGTTGCCCCACCAGCACCGCCAATAACAAAGGGTTGTTTTTGCATGTTTCCATGTGATGATGTTGTTGGTTGCTCCACCTTCTGTCTTTATCCTTTGTGTTGTCTGCCACATGCAAAAGGAATAAGATAAAAAGAAAGCAAAAAAAAGCTTATCTTCCTGTTTTCCATTGGTAGATGTGGCAACTTTGGTGGACTCCACCATAACAGTAACCTTATCATATTCTCCATCCTTGTCAACCCTGAGGACCATGACATGCTCGATGCGTCCGACCTTGATGAGGTAGCTGCCACTCCGAATCCGGCAGTGGGAGAGCTCGGAGAAGAGAATCATGCCCTCGATGTTGTTGTACTCGAGGAGAGAGGCGCAGACACCTATGTCGGTGATGTTCTTCACTTGGATCATCATCGCCATGTTAACATCCAGGTACCGCGTTTCGTATATCTGGCACTCTAGGTTCGGCGTGTGGGAAGCCATGCTTGCTGCTTCTTCCTTCCTTATTGCAGACAGTAGTTGAAACAATGGATATGACGTATTGAGAAAGGTGCGATAATGGTTAGTCTCCCACCTCTCTACACATTGAATGGGCAACAAAGAAACAGACTCCATATTCTTCACCAACTCCGCCATGGCAGTCACCTTTAAGGTAGAAAATAAGCAAGGACAGGCAGAGCTCCGCCACCTCAGAGAGACCAAGCACAGCCGAGAAGAAGACGACGATGACGAAGAGTAAGCAGCAGAGGCGGAGGAGGAAAGAGAAGACGACGAAATCCTAGGCATGAGGAATGTGGTGGATGGCGTCGCAGAGAGAGTAAACATAATGAGAGAGAGAAGCCCCCATATCATCTTCTCCTAGATTTCAATATGAGTTCACTCTTTTGACTATTCTCACGGTGGAGTAACAGAAAAAACGCATCAGAACTAGAGCAACTTGAGTAAAGGCACAATGATACAGCTCACCAAAGAAAGTGGCAGGGATTTGATGGATTCGGCGGTGTCCAAGAACCCTTGCAAGTTCCTGTCACAAGCTTCGTTATTGCCGGCGTACTCCAAAGCGTAAACCAGCATCCCTCTCAGCCCCGCCTCGTTCAGCTCTATCACCTAATTTTCAACAGCGACATCGTCTTCGCCGGTGCAAAAGTGGTCATAAATCGTTGACTGTATCACCCTAAGAACACATCTTTGATCAACGGAGTATGCATGAGCCTGGAACGCATGACCCGCATCCCAACATCCATCATCGGCTCCACCGCCACCATGTGGGGGTTCATCGCCACCCTCAACAGCCGCGACGTAGAGATCGACGCAAAGAGCTTGTCAGCATCATCAAAGCTAGAAAATTAATATTTCACGCTGTCGGTGTCGGTAATGGTGGTAGTGGGGTGTGGTGCTTTTTCGGTGTGGCCAATTAGCTAGACGATGGCAGAGATGGTGATGGAGGAGGCAGAGTTAAACGGCCTGATAGTTTTCAGGACTTTTGATGCTGCTGGGTTTACACGGTTTGCCATTCAACGATGGGTGGCTTGAGTAACTCTATAGCTCTCTGTTTCTAATCATCCTCATCTCTCTCTCTCTAGCACTCTATTTCTCTCTGTAGATTGAATGGGTGTGTCTCTGAATGTGGGTGTTAGGTTGATGGTTCTTGGGTTTCTACAGATTCACGGTGGAGGTGAAAAAAATGAAAGAACCGACATAGCTTTTCGTGTCGATTCCCACAGACGGCACCAAATGTTGATGCCCAAAACCGGAGGTCTTGGAACAATGTAAATTCGACCGTGAATCTGCATGAAATGTAAATAACACAAAATGTATCGTGGTTCACCCCAAGGTTTGGGCTACATCCACATTGATTATGTATTTATTTGAGGGAGAGAGAGCCCTGAGAGTGAGAGCTTTGAGAAGGGGTAAGAGGGCCTAGGAATTGGCCTCTGAGGGTGAGAATGAGCCTCCCCCAATTGTGAGGGTGAGGGGTCCTTTTATAGAATAATGACTCCTCACTTATTACATATTCACCCATTCCTTTATTACATAATTAAATTTAAGTCCTCCAAGTATTTATACGAGGTCTAAATACAAGGCCCTAAATATGGTATAAACACCCCTCTTAGTTCTTCTCACATTTGTAGATTTCACGCCTGCGATGGTGGGTCAAACCTTTCAAGAGTCATGTTTGACTCATCCTTTAATCGCTTGAAGATGATGTTTGTTGTTAGTTCCGGTTGGATGCTACAATACCATCTTCTACAGATCTCATGTCGAGGCTTTGGTTCATCGGTTTCCAGTAGAGGCGGTTACAGGAAGATTGAAGAAGTTCTCTATCTTTTTTCTTTTTTTCTTTTTTTGTCTTGTTATGGATTCCAATTTCTGTTTTGGCCCAAACTTCTGTTTGTTTAGAAGGTATTTTCTTCTCTCTTGTGCTTGTTTTTGTTTTTGTGCTTCTTTTCATGTAATCTTGCTTTGTTTGTAATGAAATTACCCTTGACCAAAAAAAAAAAATCATAGGCTACATTTGAAGTGAGTCCAATATGTTTTTAAGTCCAGTCACATTTTTATTCCTATTTTACCCTTTGAGAATGAAAAATTAGTGTTTGAATTCCTTAATTTTTGAAGAAAAAAAATTCCTTAACTAATGCATCCATTTACATAATTTTGAATTCAAAATATTCAAACGTACTATTATCTAGGAAAGTAATTTTTCTAAAAAGTATAAAAATTATATAAAAAAGGTTAAAGAAAACGCATATGTAGTATATACCTATAAAACCACATTACATATACCACAGGTTGAAATACAATATTTATAAAATTTGACCACTATGTAGGTAAAAAATAAAATGTAATAGAGAGAGGTAAATTACGTTATAAGGCAAACACAAAAAGAAATAGAGGTAGACTAAAATAATGTAATACAGGTAGATAAATACATTTAAACTACAACAGAAGTATGAAACCCACAAAAAAAAACTCAAGGACGTGGTTGAGATAAACTAAAATCTTGTGCTATAGGTAGATAAATAACATGAGTAATGAGGAGAAGCCTTCGTTAAAAGAAAAAAAAATTAGGAGAACTACATTACATGTAGATGATCGATGAGGAGAAAAATTGAAGAAAAGACATTAAAAAATTAAGGCTAAATAGCCAAAATGGTCCCTGAGATTTGCATAACTCATCACTTTGGTCCCTAACATTTCAAATCGATAAAAGTGGTCCCTGAGATTGTCCACTATCCATCATTTTGGTCATTCCGTTAAAAACTCCGTTAAGTGTCCCGAAGCTCTTGGCCAGAAGTTTGGACAATTTTCAAAGCTTCGTAACTCAATCGTTTCTTAACCAAATTCGACCCCTAATATATCAAAATGAAGATAAAAGAGTGTAGAATAAGATTATACCTATTTGGAAGCCCAATGGATGCCGGAGATAGCCGGAAAATAGTCTCAAAGTTGACTGGTCTGACCAAAATAGCAACTTTCGAGCCGTTTTCTGGCCAAACCACAGCGAGTTAGCCATTAAAAAAGGTACCATTCTCTTTGTCTCATCAAGAAGTATGATTTTCATTTTTGAATCACTTGATTTAATTAAGTATTGAAGAAGTTATGAACATTTAAAGTTTACCCAGTTTCCGACGAGTTTTCCAGTTTTTTCTCGAACCAATCAATTTTGAGGCTATTTTATGGCTATTTCTGGCATTCATTGGGCTTTCAAATAGGTATAATCTTATTCTACACTTTCCTATCTTCATTTTGATATATTATGGGTCGAATTTGGTTAAGAGACGATTGAGTAACGAAGTTTTGAAAATCACCCAAACTTATGGCCAAAAGCTCCAGGGCACTTAACGGAGTTTTTAACGAAATGACCAAAATAATGGATGGTGGACAATCTCAGGGACCACATTTATCGATTTGAAATGTTAGGGACCAAAGTGATGAGTTATGCAAATCTTAAGGACCATTTTGGCTATTTAGCCAAAAATTGATGAGTTAGGTAAAAAACCAAAAAATGGAAAAAGAAAACAAAAAGATGAGGAAGTTGTATATAATCCTTCCATTAAAAATGCTAATGGAAGTTGCCACTTAATACTACATTATAGTGGTATTCCTCTTCACTTGTAAGTGAGAGATCTTAAGTTCGATTTTCGTCAAAAACGAATTTGAACTAAATTCCCTACAATTTTCTCTGAGGAATCGTACTCTCGTCCCTTCTATTTTTCAGTTTTCTATTTAGATATTGGTCGATCCTTTCATGCTAAATATATAATAAATACTGTAAACATACAATTTAGGACAGAAAAAAAAAATATATATATATGAGGTAGGATCAGGGTCGCACATTTGTGTCACACATTTTGACCCATATTTTATAGGGTTCACTTCGTAATGTATTTTAACAATTTGAATCATCTATATTTTAGTATCCTTGCAAAAAATTAGACAATCTAAAATCATTAAGACATTTATTTATAGTGAAGAAAACAAACGAATACGATTGTGACATCCCACATCGCTTAGGGGAGTAGATCATATAAGCCTTATATGTATATTCTCATCTCTACCTAGCACGAGGCCTTTTAAGAGCTCACTGGCTTCGGATTCCATCAGAACTCCGAAGTTAAGCGAGTTTGCGCGAGAGCAATCCCATGATAGGTGACCCATTGGGAAGTTCTCGTGTGACTTCACAAAAACAAAACCATGAGGGCATGGTCGGTGACTTCCCAAAAACAAAACCATGAGGGCATGGTCGGGGCCCAAAGCGGACAATATCGTACTACAGTGGAGTCGAGCCCGAATGTGGTGGGGGCCCGGGTCGGGATGTGACACGATTCTCAAAGAAAAACTACGTTTAATTCAACAGTCATACGGTTTGTATTTGGGTGGTTTTTTACGAACATAATCTTTGAGTTAAGATATAAAAAAATAAACAGATGGATCATCGTATACATTACAAAGTTGATCCCACAAAATGTATCACAAAAAGCTGTCACCCCGGATCCTAACCCTATATATATTGGATATACACGTGATCACAACATTTCACACAAATATTGTATAGGTACTTACAAAAATACAGGTGTTCACAATACATTTAAATAGCTAAATCCTAAACCAACTTTCTCTTTAAAGCTTGTTTGATACTATTTAAGTTTTTGGGTTTTCAATTTTTTGAAGCATGATAACGTTTTTGGTAACTACTTTTAGTCATAAAAAATGAAAATATAAATTAAAAAATCCTAAATTAAAAATGGAAAGCTAAATTTTGAAAACTCACAAAAGTAATTTTTGTTGTAGGCCTATTTGATTAAATGATCTAGGGTTTAGAGAAAGAGAAGGGGCCCGCTACAATTAGAGAGAAGAGAGTGATTTAATTGTGAGGTATGTTTGATTCACCCCATTGTGCTTTTATTTATAGTAGCAGGATAGGTAAAAACTTTTCCCTTTAGAATTACAACATTTAATAGGTAATCAACTCCTAATAGGAATATAAGATACATTCTCATATCTATTAGAATTTACATAATCACATTCATATTCCCAGTGGGCCGACGATGTCCTTTTAAGTTTAAATAGATTCCTTGATTTCATAATTGATATCCGTATGACGTAATTTAATTGTTTGGACTTAGTTTCATTAC